ATATATATATATATAAAAAGAATATTCCTCATGCGGCCAATTCAATAACAAGAAAAAAAAAACCTGTCTTTCCTCCTCTTTGCTGCTAAGTGCATGTGTTCCCGTTTCAGCTCAGGCTTTTCAAACCAGTATGACTCCATGCCAATAACTGATGTGATGAGAAGTTGGTGTCAGGTAAATCCTTGGAGCTGATAAAAGGTACAACACAGCTTAACTGACTGACAGGCGGGCTACCGGAGTTCCCCCCACTTTAGTTTATCAACTGTATGTGACACAGTAGACCAGAGGCCACTTCAGTTTTCTTGACAACCTCCGATTCAAATTGACTAACCTCCATGTGGGAAAAAAAAAAGTTGTCTTTATCGATCTTGATTGGACAGTGAGTTGAGTGAGAGGTGTCAGGGTAGCCCAATCACTCTTGCACAGTAAAGAGAAAAGACGTTAACCCAATACAACCGCCTGTCCCTAAACGGCTTGGCTCCAGGGGGTTAAGAGGGGTGGTTGATGGTAGGTTAACCCTGATCGCTCACCTTGTCGTGGTAGAATAAGTAAGAAAGTGAGGAAGTAGAATTGATTTACAGAAGGGGCAGTTGTGCACAGGCTTCCACGTCATTCCTTCCCTGCTGTCCTCATATTTAGATTTATTGCATGGCAGCCTTGCATCATAAAACATACAGCCTGGGCTAAGCACACACAAACATGTATGCGCACAGAGGCACGGTGGTGGCCTTGGGAAGAATTGGTCCAGGTTGAGCTACGATGTGGTGGCGACATCGTTCCTGCCACAGTGGGCTAATACAGCACGACTGCTTATGGGCCTGCAAGGCCACACACGTGGACATGGTAACAAAACATGTCAGCTGCACACAGGCCTATTTGACAAGCTGTAAAAACTGAAATCACACAACACCAGTATATCATGTTTGGAAAGGCAATTGGTTTACCATCAAACATCAAGCAATTTTTTTTTTTATTAGAACAACTTCTATCTCTATGAGAGTATAGCACTTTCTACTTTGCAAGGAAGAAAAAAACAACAAGACAGCAATTTATTGTTTTTGTATTGGGTATTTTTCACATGAAAAACAAAACAAAAAAACACTGGATTCCATTAAGGTTTCTGGGTGCTGACTTTGTCCAAAGACAGATTTCAAAAAAAGATCCAGGTTCAAGCTGAGGTTACACTGACTGAGGATTTCAACTCTTGGATACACTGCCCACCACTGGAACCCAATCAATCCTAATCCTCTTAAATAAGAATATTAGAAAATAGGTGTCCACTTTCACGTCCCAAGTCAAACACTGAGGGGAAGAGAGGGAAAGCGGGAGAGGGCTGGAGGAATGAGTCGCTCGGATGTGGTTACTTAGCAGATAAATTATGCATTAAAACTGCACAGGTGGCGCGGGACAGGGTTTTTAGGTGAAGGGAGGGAGCCGAGCAGCTGGGGAATTCATAACAGAAACGGGAGAGCAAGCGAAGGAGAGAGGGAGAAGAAGAGAGAAAGAGATACTCCCTAGCTTCATATCACAGCCAACAGATGTTCTCCCATCACAGAGGCGGCAGGCAGGCGGCGAGGCTACTCAACCCCGGCTTACACGGCTAATATGACCCCCCCTTATGCTGCCACACATACACGTATATACACACACACACACACACACACACACAACAGTCGAGGGCTTGGAAACGACCTAAGGCTATCATGGTGGCAACTTGTTACACTTTTTAAATTGGCACAAATTGATCCACTTAGGTGTGTATATGTGTGTGTTACGGTGGGGGGTGGGAGCAGGTCTGTCGGCCTGCTGACAAAGTACTATTAGCGACAAGTAAGTTTATCTATAGAGCACCTTTTGAAAGCAGACGTCACAAAGTGCTTCACAAGAAAAAGACAAAACGGAAAATAAAAGACAGAAACAGACATGACACGCAGATATAAAGGAATGGACATCAAAAGCATAATCACGTACTAACTTGCACCTGATAGAGATTGGTTGTATGTGTGCGTGAACTGAAGGGGGGCATGATGTTACCATGGA